TTACATATTCTTGAATATTATGCTCAATTATATTATTATTTTGACATTATATATGCTAGAAAAATATTTTTATTTTATAGGTAAGTTCATAATGTTGATTAAAAATAATAATATTGAAAAAGCAAAAGAAGAAGAAGATAAAAGTTAATAATTTAGAGGGTAAAATAGGTATTTGGCGATCAAAAGTTTGATAAATCTGGTTGAGTGACCTTCTGAGTGCTATAGACATAGTTAAGTGAGTTTGTTGTTACAAACGAAAGAAAGATGACTTTGGTAGATAACTTCGGAAAGTTGAGTGACCATTTGAATAATGAACTCAATATTTGAATGAATAAATTACTGTAATAGCAAGCAGTGGCATTTTTTAAATATTTATAGCTAATTTTTAATTTTATTTATTATTTTGTACATATATATTATTTAACAAACTTCGACGAATTGGTGTGCGTAGAACAAGGTGCTACCGGCCCTGGCTAGACAGTAGTAGAAGTAAAATGACACTGATTCTTCAGTACATATTTGAATTATTTTTTGTCTTAATTGTCCCTAAACTCGGCTATTTGATAGTCTTGACCATTGTTCCGTGACATGTCAGGTAAAATGTTATGCCTCAGCCCCCGCCTTTTAATTCGCTAAATGCAAATTTAAATATTTTATTATGAATTTATGATTGCAGTATAGGGAGCCCCTAAAGTTGTTTGGGATTGGGGCGTAATTATTGTTGTTATTGTTTTTTTGCAGTACAGGGAGCCCGGGGTTCTTTTATGGCGTGGCTTCACCCTACAAGAATTTGCCAATCAATTGCTTGGAAACAAGGGTGACAATGGGAAAGGCAGGCAAATGCCAATACATTATGGCTCTAACAAGCTCAATTACTTCACCGTTTCTTCAACTATTGCGTAAGAATCTATTTCCCAATTAGCACATGATTCAGATCATATATATCTCGTCTACTTAAGCAATTTAAGTATATTAATGTTCATTTCTCCAGCACACAGCTTCCACAGGCAGTAGGCGTGGCTTATTCTCTGAAAATGGACAAAAAGGAGGCTTGTGTTGTCACTTATTTTGGAGATGGCACCACTAGTGAGGTGATTTTGGATTAAGTGGGCGTTTGGACAAAAGAATTTATAAAATTCCAAAAAAAGAAAAAAAAAATTAAAGTGAAAATGGTATTTGAAAATTAGAGTTTTATTTGGACATGAATACAATTGGAGTTGTTTATGAATTTTTGTGAGTGATTTGAAGTGAAAATTTTGAAAAACAGTTTTTAGGAGTTTTTTAAATTTCTGAAAAATTCCGAAATTCAATTTCAAGTGAAATTTTAAAAATTTTATGGACAAATATTGATTCCGAAAAAAGTAAAAAAAATTCGAAGAAAAATGAAAAATTACTTATGGCCAAATGGGCCCTAAGTATAATATATTTATCACATTCTTAGTTGAAGATGAAGTGGTGTTTTTTAATGAGATTTGTCTTGAATTTTTTGTCAGGGAGATTTCCATGCTGCTTTAAATTTTGCGGCAGTTCTGGAAGTTCCTGTTATATTTCTATGTCGCAATAATGGATGGGCAATTAGCACCCCTGTGGCTGAACAATTTCGAAGTATTTCCCGAAACTCATACAATCATCAAAACTTAAAATATCTCAATTCTTATATTCATAGCACTCTTTTAATCAATACTTAAAATATTATTATCAACCTTTAATACTCAAAAAATCATCAAAACACTATACGATTTGCTAATATAATATCAATATTTAATGGAGTAACCTTCTTTTTTTCCAGAAAATATTTTCTGAGAACGACTTTCATCATACCAAACATAGTCTTAATACCACATATACTTAACTTATATTCTCCTACATTTCTTTAATGTAGGTGATGGAATCGCCATTAAAGGGCAGGGTTATGGAGTTCGAAGCATTCGAGTAGATGGCAATGATGCTCTTGCAGTTTATAGTGCTATTCGTTCTGCTCGTAAAATGGCAATAAAAGAACAAAGGCCAATATTAGTAGAGGTGTGAAATTCATCTTCTCATATATATGTTGTGATCCAACTAAATATAGTTCAAGTTACGGATCACGTTGAATCTGAAAACATCTATATAAAAACTAAATGGAAACTTAACTACTATTATATTAAAGGACAGCCCGATGCACAAGGCATCCCGTATTCACACAGGGTCCGAGAAACAGAGGGGGAGCTAGACCTTTGCTTACGGGTTCGGCCGAACCCGTTAACTTTTGTCCAAATCCTGTATTTATCTTGTGAAATCTATGGAATTTGTACAAATGATTAATTTAAAACCCAGTAACTTAAAAGAACTAGAATACTAAACACGTAAGCTTCAAATTTTGGTTTCGCCTTTGCCGGGGAAGGGCCGCACCCAAAGGGGTATGATGTAATGCAAGCATTAGTCGCTTCTTAACTCGAACTCGTGACCTATAGGCCACACGAAGACAACTTTACCGTTGCTCCAGGGGCCACTTCAGGAACTTGACTACTATTCAAATATAAAATCTTAGCAGTATTATGAACATATTATTCCTTTAAGGTTTTATGATAAAAACTTCATTTGTTCACTTATTAGGCCATGGCTTATCGAGTGGGCGACCATGCATCATCTGATGATTCTACCAAGTACCGATCCATGGAGGAAATCGAGTACCGGAGAAGACGAAGCTCAGTCGCCAGATTCAGAAAATGGATACAGAAAAATGGTTGGTGGAGCGATGAAGATGAATTCGAATTCCGGGGAAATATCAGAGAGCAGGTTCAAGATTCAAAATCCTAAAATGTGTATCTGATTTTGTTCTATCCTATTACAGTGTTTATTTGTTTATTATCTATTTATTGTAGGTGTTGCAAGCAATTCAAGCTGCTGAGGAAGAAGAGAAACCTCCGTTGGTAGATTTGTTTACTGATGTTTATGACCAGATTCCTTCAAATCTTCAAGAACAAGAGAGGTATATTAGAGATGCTATAAAGAGACGTCCAAAAGAGTATCCTTCTAATATTCCTCTATAGGCTATATATCTCCTCTTGTTGATATATTAATATGGTAATAGATAAGTACAGAAGCTTGCTACATTTTCTAGAATTTTCAATCTGAAATTGCCCCCCTTGAAATCCAGTAATGTCCTAAATGTAATATGATGCAGTAGTGTGTGTGTGTAATCTGAAACTGCACGAACTATCCAAGTTAAATGAAGTTTGAACTCGTTAATCGTCTTTGCAAATGGATGTTGTTGTATGTTCCTAAGGGTGGCAAGTGGACCAGTCCAGGCCTGGGACCGCGGGCCAAACGGGCTAAATGGGCCAGGACCGTTTGGCCCGATTTTAGTGGGCCTGGGCCGGTCCTATGATTTAGCCCGCCAAGGATCGGAACCGGTCCCTTAGCGGGCCAAACGGTCCCAACGGCTATTTTTATTTTATTTAAAAATATAGCCGTTGGCCTGTCAAAAATAGCCGTTGGCTATTTATAAAAAAGTCATTTAATCCCCCCCCCCCCCCCNTTTAAATATGTTGGGCCCACTTAGTCCGTTTAGCATGCGGGCCGGGACCGTTTAGCCCGGGACCGTTTGACCCGTTAAATTTGGGACCGGCCCGGGTGCCAGCCCTATATGTTCCTACCATAAAGTAGTTTTTATGGCTTCAACTCTATTATATGAATAAAAGCGATGACATATTGTTCCTTTCAATAAGTAATCGACACAAGCAAAAAAAGACGATGCAATCAAGGTAGAAGCAAACTGCAAATAGATAACTGAAGAATTGAGAGTAACATAAACATTTTCTCCTTTAAAAAAAAAAAAAAATCACACTTACTATTTTTCAACAAGAGGGGTTACTTTGATGGTAAGCAACCCCCACTTCCAACCAAGAGGTTGTGAATTTAGAGTCACCCCAAGAGGAAGGTGGGGAGTTCTTGGAGGGAAGGATGCCGAATTTCTATTGAAAACAATCTCTCTACCTCATGGTAGGGGTAAGGTCTGCGTACACACTACCCTCCCCCAGACCCCACTAGTGAGATTATACTGGATTGTTGTTGCCGTTGTACACTTACTATTTTTCATCATTTACTAATAGTAAGAATTAGTGTCAACGATCTATTATATATAACTATAATTTAGTTTTGGTTAACTATAATTAAGTTGACATGGAGCTACTATACGGCCAATACAGCTAGTTGGAAAAACTAATGGGGGATATCCTTTAAAACTAATGATCAAAATAATTACTACTATTTTAGGCTGGTATATCACAAAGATAGAGAACTGTTAGGCCATACACTTGGGTGCAAACGAGAAATATAGTTTCTCAACTTCTATTCTAAGTTGCTCGGACTCGGGTGCGGGAGTCCGATACGAATGCGGATCTAGAGGTCGGATCTTTCATGATCTACATTTTAAGATTCGGGGATATGGATACAGGTAGGGATATGGGTGTGACAATTCGGCTAAAAATAATTCAGATACCTAAAAGTAGAGTTATAAAAGTGTCTAAATTATGAGACATTATGTGGGACATTATGTGGTAAACTTAAGGTATTCCAAGGAGGAAATATTGATCAAGAGGAGAATCCGAGAAGGAGAAAAAAGGAAAAGGCCTGACATAAAAATTTCTATATACAAGGTATTCCATTTTCTTCAATTTCGCCCTAACTTTTGTTTTGATTATCTAACCTGAATTTCTCCGTCGATTTTGGTCAAAGTACCCAAAATCGATTGACCAAATCCGGTACAAATCTCACACCCACACCCCACGTCGTGTCGACACGGGTGCAGCACCAAAAGTGAAGAGTCCGAGCAACTTAGCTTCTATTAGGAGCAAATACAATCAAACAAGCCTCTCACCAGCCAGGCAGCCATAGATCGCGGGAGGGAAGGAGAGAGAAGAGGGAGATTATGTAACTTCTCATGTTTTAAATGGCAATTTTTAAGATCCTTAACGTATGAAATTGGCACCAAAGAAACTAGAAGAAAAGAGATGCACTGTGTACAAGCCTCAGATAGGACTATCAGCTGCTCAATAATTTAACCAATTACAATGAAGCCGAATTGGAGTATACAAAAGCAGAATGTATTTGCAATTTTCAGTAATCTTACAAACATTAGAAATTGATACATTCTGAAAACTTTCTGAAGATAACATTAGTGAGGTGAAATGAGCAATACCTGTCTCATCGCGGTCGTCCCCTTTCACCGCTAAACAAATCAATTAACTAATCTACCTAGTATTTTCTTTTCCTTATTTTGAAGCTGGACGATCGGATAACATCATCATCAGTATTAAGTGTTGCCTCAAGAGCTGTCATGGATTCGGGTTTGGTAAAGTAAGTAAATAGCAAGTAGATCCCGTCCAAGTAAGTATTGGTCTCTCCAGCTTTATTTTTCCTCCTGATGCTGTAGGCTAGGGGAATAACCCCTCGGTTGAACACCTCCACATACATGCCACCACCAGCAACAAGCAACTGTCCAAGGAAAAGAAAAGCAAAAAGACATTGGAAAACACTTGTCTAAGACCCTGTGGTCGAATCTTCTTTCAAAATCAACAATCTTGTGCAGTTGCACTTGAGGGAAAAAGACATCAGGACTTTGTATAGCTTTGTAATGCAAATACTATCAATCTATAATGCACAAAGATAGAGCTATTGACTATATGCATTAAAAGATCAGAATTGAAATAACAATTTAGAGAGCAATTCAAGGCTGAAATCAAAATGATACTGACCGGATGAAATTCTCTGAAAAAGAATCCAAATTAAGGTACTTATTGCTGAAATAAGAAGACATAGCTGATAAAGCAAAATGGTTATGTTCTAATTAAGCATACTTATTGACTTTAGACAGTAACTGGTTGGGGAGGGTGAAGGTGGGGAAGAGATATTGAATCTGAACTGATTGCAAGAAACAAAGTTATTCTGGTCAATCAGAAAAGGGAGAAAGGAAGAGGAGAGTTGTTGCGGCCCTAAAGAAGAAAAGCAGGTTTGCCACACTTTATGTAGGTGGAGACTTTGAGTTGGGTAGTGGAGGCTTAGAGAGGAGTCAGTTCTTAGATTTATCATTAGAGGTTGTATGTCAGTTTATTAAGGAGAAACGAAAGTAATACAAGCCATACTCTCATCGATTGGTTATGGGAACTTTTGGTGATGTGGGCTGAGGGGCGGTTACCAAACGAGAGAAAATGAGATCAGCGCTGCAAAAGGCATTGACGATGAGAGATTCCTATATACAGAAAAGGATAGATGGTAAAGAAATGTGTTTTTTTTCCCTTCCCTCCCAAACCCTGGTAGGTGGGGTTCAAGTAAGTTTTTGTATGGTAAAATAGAGCAGTTTAGCCGGAAAACAAGCAGATTGGAAACATTAGTGCTCATAGTTCCATCTATTTGACAGTAAATATCTTAAGTAAAATACTACTATAAAATTTGGAAAAAACATAGGTGGGAGGGTGGAGGACAGGAAGATGCATGCTTGTAGTTTCTTTGGTATAAATTTTTAACATATAAAGTTTCCTCGTTTTTCTTTTGGTATATCATGGATTTCACAAACTGCAGAACATTTTCTCCATTCATTTGTCTGTGAAAGATGAGACATAGTTCGTTGTCATTGAGTAATTCTTTTACGTGATTCTATGTAGTTTTCTCCCATTCTTCATCAAATCTCTATCTTTCTAATAGAAGTTGCTGTAGTTTTGAAAATGAGAGGGGCAAATTAAAATAACAAGCTTCAACATAGTGATAAGAGTAATAATGAAGATAGTGATAGCAATCTGTTGATCAAGATATTACATGCCAAGCATGTCTTTTTTCCCTTAAAAGTATTTCCCAGACTAGATAATCCTACAAGTGAATCAACTGTTGAGAGAGAAGAGATATCCCTCCCTCCACTGCTTTGCTTCTCTGTTTCTTTTTCCTTTTCTTCTTTTCTGTTCCTTAACGATCAACTACGAACAAATCTTTGTCACTAATCACAGATCAAACTAAGGCTACTGTACAGAATCATAGCTACTAGCTAGAAAACATAAACGAAGCAAATTTAGATGTTAAAGGTGAAATATCATCAAACATGGTCTATAGGTCATGTTTGGTTAACAATTAATTCAACGAAAGCATAGTACATAAAATGTAGCTTGTCTAGAACGTAAACTTAGAGCGAGACTTTTTTCATGTTTGGTTGAGTCTTCACTATTGTTCATCTCTTCAGCCTGAGAGCTGACAGGAAACACAGCATAAATTATTTCAGCTTACTATTTTCTTCCTGCATTCATTTTCCCTCCCTAATTCTCCAATACAAATGAGGGTAACTACATTCTGTCTCGAGCCTAGTTAAAATGTGCAATTTTCTGAACCATCAATTAACCTAGCCAAAAAATTATACTAATAGCACAGTTAACGCATAAAATCATATTTATATGCTATATCACATACAAATTTAACTTATATACCTAGACAGTATAAGGAATTTTAACAATGCACTAAAATTAAACAATGTACACACATCAATCTACAAATATATATACCTCTTCATACTTCTGGGTAAGAGCGAGTCGCTCATCTTCAGACATATCAGGCCTTAAAACCGCCATAGTTTCATATGGCCTCAATCCAGGAGGGCACTGGGGCTCCTCTTTATCTTCAACAGCGGTAATGCCCGACCCGGGAGCAGTTGGCGGGTCGTCATCTCCCCCGAACCCACGTTCAAAGAAGGAACCCGAAAATTCTAAAGTCTGAGCCTTCAGAATTAAACAAGAATGGTTCACATTTTTGGCATTGGAAGTTATGGGGAAAGTCGAGAATGGGTGAAAATGAGAAAGCGTTAAGAGGGGGTTCAATGAAGAGGGTGTGGAGGTCAAAGCTGGGGATAGTGAAGAAGAGAACATTTTCTTGTGACTTGGTTTTGATGTTACTGCATATGGTGAAGGTGTGGACCGAGAGTCGATTAGAAGAGCTGGAAGTGATGAAGAGATTGGATAAGGGGGGAAAGCAGAGTTGGTTCTAGGGTGGCAAACGGGGTGGAGTCGGGATATGGGCGGGTCAAACCGGGATAATGCAAAAATAGAACCGACCCATATTTAATAAGAATAACAAAAAATAAGTTAACAGGTATAATTCATATTATCCATTACCTCTTAAATATGATTACTTTTGAGGAGATTTTTCAAATATAAAATTTAAATCTATTAATTATTTATTTTCTAAGTAGATAATATATTTGACCCATTTTTTAAAAGTTTGTTATCCAACCTATTTTTTAATATATAATAAATGAATAACTATTTTTTTTTAATTATTTTATACTACTAATTGATTTGATGTGTTGGCAGAGAAAAATATACTTTTCTGCATGATTATTTACACCTTGTAGCCGCTTATGCGTGTTTTTACCTTAAATTTAGCCACAATTTAAAACAAGTATTGCAAACCTAGTCATTATTTGCACATAGGCTTCATCTTCTACTTCCTCGTCTTCCTCTTCTTTCCTGCTTCTTCTTTAGCCTCCCTCCTATTCTCATGGACTTAGTTGTCTAAGTTAGGTGCATCAGTTCGAACCTCAAACTAGTAGGTTGCGTTAATTCGAACTACGAAGGCTATTAATTTGCACCAGTTCAAACTTCATAGCTCATACTAGTAGTTTGTGTGGTTTGAAGTTTGGCTAAGGCTAATGTTGCACTAATTTTTAATTTGTGATTATATTTTAAAGAGCTACATTAAAAGTGATTATTTGTGCATATGGCCCATTTTCCACGTGCTATAATGTGGTATTCGTTTTAATTAGAATATCTCATGATCATCCAACCCAACTAAAAAGCCCATGAATACCTTGGTTGGACTGGCCAGCTTCGAAAAGTAAAAATAGCACGTGCTAGTCAGTTTTCGGACTGGTAATTCAAAAATAGCCAGCGTTTGTAAAGTAATTGAAAAATAGCAACTATTTTGCTGCAATACAGACCGGTCCAGCATAATATACTGGAAATCGGTGCACATGTGTATGAACTTCCAGCATATTATGCTGGAACTCCAACACGCGGAAAGTTCCAACATAATATACTGGAGATTGGAGCACATGTGTATGAACTTCCAGCATATTATGCTGGAACTCCAACACGCGGAAAGTTCCAACATAATATACTGGAGATTGGAGCACATCTGTATGAACTTCCAGCATATTATGCTGGACCAGTATATTATACTGGAACTCCAGCATATTATGCTGGAATATTTTCCGAATTTTGAATAGTGTTTTCATTCAGATTTATCTTTACATGAAAATGATTAAATTTCGATTATTTTTGAAACTGTGGCTATTTTTTAATTATCACTTGTAAATCTGGCTATTTTTGAATTTCTTCCCTTCGAAAAGGATATGAAAGAAGTTATCAAATGACAAATATTCTTGGTCAGATTGGCCAGCCCCTAAATAGCTACGAATTAAGCTATCAAATGAAAAATTATCGGGCTAAGTGTATTGGAAATTTGGAACCATTTTTAAGGTAGCTGTTCAAAAAATATTCAACATTTGCAGAGTATTTAAGATATAGCCACATCTCGAGCAGCAAAGACCCGCTATTTTAAATTTCAAGACACTTTTTGAAATTTTAGGACATGAGTTCCAGCTTCAAGACACAAGCCTGAACTTCAAGACACAGTTTCACTTAATTAGTGATTTTATGTTGTCCAGATAACAAATATGTTATTATTTATAGTTCAATTATCAAGCAAGTGAAGGAGAAAATATGTATCTGTTGCGAATGAAAAGAATTAAAACGATGAGAGCTACAAAGCACTTCTTGCTCTGCTTCCATAGTGGTGACGCAAAATATTTATAAAGTCTTTTTTTTATTTTTCTTCAACACTAGTATAAGAACCCGCGCGATGCGCGGATAATATGATATAATATTAATCTTATAAAATTATGATCTAATATATCATATTAACTTAATCAATATTAGTTGTATTTTATTATTTAATATAGTGTGCAAAAATATAACACAATCTATACAAAATTAAAGGATACACGTCATATAGTAATCAAATAAATTATTTGAACCTTTTTATTTTTATTATTGAATTAGCAAGTACTTAGTACTACTGATAATTTTCTTGAGTGTTATTTATTTATCTTTTATTTTTTAACTAATTTAAAATATAAATATCATAAAATTATCTCTATCCCCCTCTTTTCGTATATTCATTTCTACTGTAATACTTATTTGATTAGTTTTCTAAATTTGTATTTTATTAAAAATTTAAATAATGTAATATTTTTTACTAAATTATAATTTTGAATTCATCAAAAGTATAAAGAGATGCTATATATATAATATGCTTATCTTATGTATAATATCCTAATAGTATCTTTATATTTTTGTATTTATCATTTGAATTGAAAGTTTCTTTATTTTTTTATTTTGTTTTTTTTAATAATTCTAAAAGTCCAACTTGAAACTACTCCACAATTAATTCAAGATTTAAAATTCAAAAGATTTTTAGTGAGAAAGGTAGTTTATTTTTGAATTGAAAGTTATTTTATTTCTGTATTTTGTATTTATCATTTGAATTGAAAGTTTCTCTATTTTTTTATTTTGTTTTTTATTTTAAAATAATTCTAAAACTCCAACTTGAAACAACTCCACAAATAATTCAAAATTTAAAACTCAAAAGATTTTTAGTGAGAAAAGTAGTTTATTTTTGAATTGAAAGTTGTTTTATTTCTTTATTTTTGTTTTTTATTTTAAAATAAATTTAAAACTCCAACTTGAAACTACTCCCCAATTTGAATGGGTATTTCTTTTATTTATATATTTTCGTTTTTTATTAAAACTAATTTTACTTTTAATTTGTTTTTTATTTTAATATATTTTTAAAACTCCAACTTGAAACTACTCCACAATTTTAATGGGTAATATTTTTTCGATTTTTATTATAGCTAATTGCTAATTATAAGATATCTATATTTATTGATACAAATAGAGTAACCAATTAATTCAAAATTTAAAATTCAAAAGATTTTTTAGTTATAAAAGTAGTTTATTTTGTCTTAAAACTCCAACTTGAAACTACTCCCAAATTTGAATTTGTAATTTTTTATTTTTTTCAATTTTATTTTTTATTTAAAATAATTTTAAAACACCAACTTTGTTGGAGCTTTATCCTAAAAATCTATACTTGGCATCTCATGATTATACCACTTANGGTGCCGTGTGAATTATGAAACGGCTTGATAAATTTCTTATGTGTTGAGGTCCCGCGTAGCGATGGTGTTATGTGAGCAGGATAGCTCTCGAGATTCAGATCATATACCGCACCTTACTTGTGCTTGAGTTTTGTTGCGTATGGCACTGTCGGTCCTTCCAAGGATGGTATTATGCACTTAGCGTGCTTGTGTCCGATATTCGGATAATTTTATAGTAATGAGCATTCTAGCTCGGTAAGTATTTCCTTATAGATTCTTTTTGTGTGGATCGGGTGGCACGCCGCCATGGGTATGTTGTTTGGATCGGGTTGCACACCGCAACGGTACCATGTGTGGATCGGGTTGCACGCCGCAACAGTGTGATGTTGAGTACAGTCCCCTATATTATATTTTGTGTGTTTGTGTCCCATTTTGTTTTTTCTGAGGAAGGTTCATGACACCTTTTCAGTTGTTCAATTAGTCACGTGGGTTGAGTAATCCTTTCGAGAGTTCGTTTTTCTTATGTATCACAATCGAGTCCGTAGCTTATTATCTCATTGTGGCGTCATATGAGGCTTTTTGATCGTGTCTGAGGTGTCTTATTGCCTGAGCAGCTTATACTGTGTGAGACGAGACTATTGGATCCGGGATTAGTGCGATCGGATTATATGAAGTATAATAAAAAGCAAATATTGTTATTTAGTTCATAATGAGGCAATGGTTCTTGTCAGAAGGAGAAACTCAATAATTTGTTGACTCGACAGTTGGTTATGAATTTCTACACATTTCTTCCATCATGGAAGCATTTCGAGAGTTGGAACATGACTTATATGTATCATGAGGTGTGTTGTGAACATCAGATTCATGGAATTTTGGCTATTGTTATCGGAGGATGTTATTATGGTCATGTGAATAATGCGGTGCATGGTCTAAATTCAACAAAGGTATGCAATCCTGTATGGGTACATCGTGTAGTGATTGATACGGTGTTCATAGGTTTGAAACAGGCATGGTGGAGAATTCTGGATGTTAGAATTTGGCTCTAAGGCTTATTTGCCTTAATAAAGGGGAGAATCTTCAGATTGGCTCGAATTAATATGCTCAACTGGGTGTGGTAGGAAGAGTAAGTGCACGAGGTGTTAAAAAGTGATTTTGGACAATTTCGGAACAATCCTTAGCACGTTCGAGGACAAACGTATAATTAAGTGGGAGAGAATGTAATGACCCAACCGGTCATTTTGACTTTTAGATCCCCATTCCCTAAAATAAAACTCCTCGTATGTGCTTTTAATTATTTATGATTTGCGGGGATGGTTGGTTCGGGATTTGGAAGTGTTTGGGTTGAAATCGGAACACTTGGTTCCTTAAGTTGGCTTTAAAAGGCCAAGTTTGACTTTGGTCAATATTTTGAGAAAACGACCCCGGAATAGAATTTTGATGATTCCAACAGCTCCGTATGGTGATTTTGGACATAGGAGCATTCTCGGATTTTTTTTTGGAAGTCCGTAGTTAAATTAGACTTGAAATGGCTAAAATAGGAATTTAAGTTTGGAAGTTTGATCGGGGAGTTGACTTTTTGATATCGGAGTCAGAATCCAGTTCCGAAATTTTTTATAGCTCCGTTATGTCATTTATGACTTGTGTGCAAAATTTGAGATCAATCGGACTTGGTTTCATAGGTTTCGACATCGAATGTAGAAGTTGCAAATTCTAAGTTTCATTAAGCTTGAATTGGAGCATGATTCGTAATTTTACCGTCGTTTTATGTGGTTTGAGATTTTAAATAAGTTCGTATGATATTATAGGACTTGTTGGTATATTTGGTTGAGGTTCCGAGGGCCTCGGGTGAGTTTCG